GTTGCTGAGTCAAGTTCCATAGGGTCGTTGAACTCTTTGGCTAGGTTTAGAGGGGGTGGGGAGTCTGAAGCTCAACCCTAAGGCAATGTCACTGTTTCTTCTGCTCTTTCAGATGGGCCCGTATGGAGGTGGCTTCCAAATCCCACCACCATACCCACAGTACCCAATGCCCCCCATGTGGCCACTCCCAAGCGGTTGGCAGAACCCCCCAACACCCCAACACCAGACCAAGGCTGATCCAACCCAAGAGACCCAGAAGCCCAACCAGACTCAGCCACAAAAGCCATCAGAACAGCAACCTTTAAATCAACCACCACAAGACCCACCCAAGGGCAAGGCGGACACCCAGCCACAGCAGGTGAGGCCTGCCCGGAAAACTCCAGATCAGAATCATAAAAAGGCTGGAAAGGGATTTGGGAGGCCAGCCACCCCTGCGTATAGGCTTCATGCAAAATGCAGTACAGGCACATCCATGCGGTAATACAATATTTAGTTCAGTTTTGACATTTATCCAAAATTGCCTGGCAAGTCAACTCTAGCCTTGTCTGGTTAAAAATCACCTAAATAATGTCTTGAAGAAGATCCTTTTATGTGGGCATGGTAATGCATGCCTGTAATCCCAGCACTCTCAGAGGCTGAAGCAGGAGGATCACAAGCTTGACCCCAGCCTGAGCGACTTAGATTTAGCAAGACGCTATCTCAAAATAAAATAAACCTTTAAAAGGTTGGAGATGAAGCTTAGTGTAAAGGCTCTCAGTACCATGCATACACACAAAAAAAAGATATTTTTAAAATATGGAGACAATACATTACAACAAAATGACAGTAAGTGTAAGAGTCAAGAAACAAAGGCACAGTAGCATATACCTATAGTCCCAGCACTTGGAAGGATGAGGCAGGAGGATTGCCACAAGTTGGACGCCAGCCTGGGCTACACAGTGAGCTCATGGCCAGCCTGAAACTACATAGTGAGACACTGTCTCAAAAATAACCAAGAAAATAAAAAAGAAAAAGAAGGAAGGAAGGAAGGAAGGAAGGAAGGAAGGAAGGACTCAAGTACGACCCCCAGTTTATGGTAGTAGGCTAGTTACTTCACCTTTCTAGATAATGATGTCCCTATGAATAAAATGACTGGTCTCTAAGTTATTTCTGGATCAGTTATTTCTGGATCTATATTTTGACAGTTTAAACAGTTGCTCTGAAATTAGCACTGCTTCTAGTACTTCAGGATGATATAATTGTAGTCCTGATATAAGCTGAGGGATGTACAATGGTTTCTCACGACCTCACCTTTAAAAATACTGTCATTTGATCATTTATCATATGCAATAATATGTATAGGGAATACAAAATCCAATAAAAAGATACCCCTGGGTTTGAATCCTGATTTCAATCACTCACCTGTTACAAGATTTTGAGCAAGTGAAAACTTCTCTGACCCTCATTCTTGAGTAAAATGGCAATAATAATAATAATAGAACATATCTTTGACAGTTATCTGAGGACTGAAGTAATTTTACAGTAGAAAATAGCATGGTAAAAAAAAATTTTAAAGAAAAAACAGCATGGTGATTAGAACATAACTGTTCAATAATAGTTTTTATTATTATCTTATCTGCAAATAACTATATTCAGTTTGGTTCACATTGCATTTATTTTTCTCATTTCCTTGTAACTCTGATTCTTTACTCTATAGCCATTCCCACCATTCAACAATGGACTCTTTCCCTATCAACAACCCCCATGGCCAATTCCACAGGTAAGAAACTGTTTTTCATACTAGCAATAAAAATTTATTTTGTATATTATTCTTAAATTAATACATGTTCGTACACTGTAATGGAATGCCCTACACCAATCAGGAGAGTGTGACACAAATTTATCACAGCAGTGACTATCCAGAGGTTTCTTCATTCTCCACTCAGACTAGTCTACAGCACAGAAACAGCCTAAATCACCCACCAGCTACTAAAAGCTCATCAATAAATTAATCTTAATGGGTTGTACTACTTTATTACTATCCCTCCACTTCACTGAGAGATTATAAATACAACACTTATTGTCAATTAATGTAATGAAAAAATTAAAACAAAATGAAGTTTGAAAACCATAAAGTCAGATATGATTAGACTAAGACATTTCTGTGATGCCTTATTGTTTCTAGCCACAGATGTAACATTATCATCTTGCAAAGTAATACTTATAAAAGAATCCTCAAAGAATTATTAAAGTTTAAAGTAATTAAGATAAAACAATATTAAAATAGTATTATAGGCATTTTAAAAAGAAATGACAAACTAGCTGAACTAAAGAAATAGTAAAGGCCAGTAGTAGTTAAAAAAAAAAAAAACTAAAAGAACATCAAGAAATAACTGACAGCTGTTCAGCCTTGACATAGGTTATTCTTATCTACAACTCTAGAACGAAGAGGGCTTCTTGCTGACAAGGAACAATTCATTTCAAAGAGTAAGAGTCCCTTTTTTTTTTCCTTAAAAGGGTGACTTCTTTTCACATCCATACTAAATTAAGGAAACTAAGGAGGTTCTGGGTAAAGATTTTAAAAGCAGCACGATTTTCATGCTGGGGCAACATTAATTTCATCTATACATAACTTCTTGAAAGTTTATAAGAAAAAAATGCATACACACACACACACACACACACACATATGCAAACAAAAGAACAAACAACTCAGTTCAGAAAGAGGCAAATAATCAAGCAGACATTTCTCAAAAAAAGAAGTCAAGTGGCCAATAAATATATGGGAAAAAAAAACCACTCAACATCTTCAGCCATCAGAGAAATGCAATCAAAATTAGAGTAAGATGCCGGGGATTTAGCTCAGTGTTTCCACCGCCTGCCTTGAAAGCACAAGGACCAGAGTGCAATCCCCGATACAAAAAAAAAAAAAAAAAAAAAAAA